AATGAAGATGAAATATTACAATTTCTTCAAACAACACACAATAGATGTTTATCGCCTATTATTTGCGTGAGAACTTTGCCTGTGCCGGGGACATTGATATCTGTGGACCGTCGCGGATCAGATCCGGTTGACAGATTGATAATCAAAGCTCCTACTTCACGAAGAAAGTATTCACAGCAACGGTAATCTCGATCAAGCGAGATTACGACTCTTTTCGAGATTAAGACCAAGCTTAAATCCGGAGGAATGGGAGGAAATAGGTCTCAGATCTCTCAAACTCTTTTTTTTGAGGAACTTTGCCAAGATCTGCTAACCCTTTGAAATTCATGCTTCACTCTTCAATTTGGCAGTACCTCGCCCTCTTAATCTCCGCCCTCTGAAATGAGCCCCATAGGCCTGTATTTATAGGCTTCGGTTGGGGGGTTTTCGGATAAGAATGATGGATTTGGCCTTATCCTCAGTTGACAATCGTATAACCATATTTAGAGATAACATCTAGGCAGTTAGGAACCTCTGGAATAGAAGAAATCCCGTGAAAACTCGTCGAAAACTATGAAAACGCATTTTCGGATCGAATCTGGCTGAACCGGGTGCAAAACGAACCGAACCGGTTCGGTTCAGGCGCGAACCACCATTTGGTGGCTCGGCCCTGGGCGAGCCAGTTTGTACCGCCTCGGGTATTTTAGCTCTAACTCTCTCGTCTGATATCGGAATGAGGTGATTCAAGGTGTTTCCGGAAGCGCTTGATGAAGTCATCAACCGTCTCTTCATCTTCCTGTTTCTCATCAAAGAGCGTTCAAATTGATACCTCGGAGTTATCATCAAAGAAATTATCAAGGAATGAGCTTTCCATATCGTCCCAGTTGTTAATACTTCCGGGCTTGAGACGGTGATACCAATCGAAGGCAGCCCCGCGGAGAGTGCCAACGAATGACCGAACCATCAAAGGATCGTTGTCAGAGATCACTCCTAAGTGGGACTTGAAATAAATCAAGTGTTAAGTGAGAGAATTCTTCCCGTCGAATGGCGTGAAGTTGATCATCTTGAACTTCGCCAGATACGAGATTGACTCCCACTCTCTTGGATATGGACATGGAATCCCGGTCCTCTTTACCTCCTGAACAGACATCAGTGTGTTGATTTTGCTCTCGAGGTCCTTCATTTTCTCATCTTCGCTCGTATCCTTCCTTGGTCGATTTTGAGAAGGAACATCGCGGCCACCCCCGGCATTATCATCATCGGTAGGACCACCCCCAGTGTCGTTATCTTTTGTGGGGCCACCCCCTGTGTTTTGATCAATGGGAGGGTTATCAGCATTGAGGCGTTCATCCACATCCGAATCACTATTTGCTCGGTTAGCATCGTTGCGATGATTGGATTCACCGAGTTGATTGGACAAAGCCCGGAGCTGTTGGTCATGCTCTTCCTTCATCCGCTACATAACCATTTCTATTTCTATTTTGAATGCTTCTTTCTGCTTGGATAGAGCGTCCTCGAGAATCTTAGCTATTTCCTCGATGTTGATCATAAACGCCTCACAAGATCGTCCGGGACTAGATACGGTAGCGTCCGAAACGACTGCAGAGTTGGTATCTGATGTTTTGTCGTTTGAGGATAATCCTCTATTCATCTTCTGATAGTCCTTACGTCTAGTAGTCCCTGCACTTAGCCGAGTTAGACGATACGATATGAAGGAGTCTGAACTAGAAGATCGAGTCGACTTTCCCTTATCAGCCATGTTAATCGTGACTGCGGAGTGTTTAGGTCCAACAACTTCTAGCTGAAGTCGAGACATTAGTTGGGCTATTCCCGAATTGACTCTTCTTCCTAGAGAAAAGTCGGGGCCAGAACCACTTAAAACGATTGGAGATCTCCCCTTATTGACTACGTTGATGGTAACCTCCGGGAGTTCATCATCTCGAATGACAGATCTTCTTTTGTGGAAACCCCTTGATTTGGGCTTCGACACTTCACCGTAGATCCTTTCGAATACCGAGACCCTCTGTAGAGCGGTCTTGGGGCAGCTATATGCTGATAATACTACCCTGATAAATTTGGTACACGGACAGTAAGAGTCTGCTTCCCGGGTACTTCTCCTTTGATATTGGTTCGTACCCCCAACGCGATAGTACAACTCATCGGTATGATTACTGGAGCAAGCTATCATGTGTTGGCACGACTTCCTAAGTATAACGTTATCGTCCTCAGACGAGAACATTTCCTTTTGAGGTTTTAACCTGTTGTTAACGTTCTCAAGAGTCGCACGTTTGGAGCCCCGTCTTCGTGAGCGTGGGACCTTAACAGGCTTTTGGACTTCAATTCGTTGTCCGAGGTATTCAGTTATAGGAGTTTCTCATTACAGGAAGGCTTCAAATTGTTGCGAATGTGTGCGACCCTTAGCCTGATGTGTTGCTCGGGGTTCAGTTACCGGACCTAAGCGCTCTTTAACGGGAGCTTTGCCTCGATTCTCGTGCAAGGGACCAAGGTGATCCTCTATTGCCTTCTTTCCTCGGGGCAAGTCAGTGTTGCTGTGGGACTTCGCCGAAGGTATGGGATCAGTTGGAATAGGAATGGAATTCACCGGAGTCGGAAAAACAGGCGCGTGACACATCCTGGCTCGGCATAGGTGTGGGTCCTGTTGGGGTGCCTCGTACTTTTTCGGAGTTTTGGTCGTTGTTTTGAGCTTAGGCCTCCAGACTTGGCGTGATTTTACTTGTTCCTTGGCTACCTCTTGTTTCTCTAACTCTCGGATCTTCCGCACAAGAATCCGCGCATGCGCAAGGAGTGCGCGACGCTTTTGGATGCGCTCCTCAAGGGTTGAACGGGTCCTTTTGACTTGGATCCATTCATTTGTTGATGGTTTGGAGGAGGGGGCGTTTACTTGCTGCTACAACACTTAGCACCTTCTGAGTTTCAGATCTGCATCATAGCAGATCCCGTCAAAAGGCTCCAAAGCCTTGGCGAATTGGCGCGTGAGGCGTTGACGCTGCATTTGGCGTGCCCTCTTTGACAAAATAGACGCGCCTTCAGTACTCAACTCCTTGATTGAGGAGAAGTTCAGATATGTAACTCCGGCTTCATTGGAGGCCAGAGGGGCGTTGCGAGGTGCAGCTATTGCAGCAACGGGGACGTTGATCTTTTTGCGCTTACGAGGAGAGGAGGATCTGAAGGAGGATAACAAATACTCCTCAAACTTCTGTTGGTCGAACTCGACCTCTTCGTCAATCGGGATCCGGATCCAAGGTTGCAACATGACAGCCTCTGCATAGAGGCTGTTGGCTCCCACTGTGATCGCCAGCGTGTTTAGGTCAAAAGTTGCTTTTTCATTGTCATTGAACATGTTAAAATTGTTTATCGATTACACGTTCAATAAATAGAAAAGTTGATCTTTTATAAGATCTTCTTACACAATGAAAAATAAAATCTTACAACTTTATCAAACAACACACAAATCATATTTATTAGTCTCTGTTTGCGTGGGGGAATTCATAGGTAATTTTTAACGCCTACAGGTGGGTGCTAATCGCTCAAGCTCCTTATGAAAATGGAGGAAAGTTTTTGTTGTTTCTGCTTCACGCGGAGCAAAATCATGTGAGGCTACTGAGGCAATGCCTCGTGCAGCAAGAAACTCGTCTTTGACTAACTCTGATGATGTTATACGTCCCAACACGCTTCACGTAGGGATGACATTTACGCATCCTTATAGCTCCGCATAAACTTGGTCGGGTTGATGGAGCTAAGCTGAAGGAATCAAAGGCTACAGCCTTGCGTAAACAACAAGCCAAATGTGAGACTACAGCCCCTTGTAAGTAGGGGAGAGCCTTTCACAAGGCCAAGTCTAAATGGGATAGCGTTAATCTTCACCCGAGCCTAGTCCTATCATGGATTTGAAGGACCTACTGCACGCAAAGGGCCACCCACGTTCAAAAGACGAATCCTGCATTTCCCCATTGCTCTAATTAGAGCAAAAAGGCACTTGTCATGCCATAATATTGGGACATCCGCTGCTGTTCCTCCTTCCGCCACTACGCAAGAGGTAGTTAACTGTTCAAATTGTGTTGTTCACACAACACCCAATCTGAAAGGACTTTGGTTTTCAGCAGATTATCGGGGTGTGCGAATTTGAATCTCCTAAGGTGGCGAACCCCAAAACAAGAAAACTAGTTTGGATGCTGAACTTATCATTTGCTAAGGTCAACATAACGGAACGAGGAGATATTTCTACCAATTGCAAGGGTATAACTCAAAGAGGTCTGGTGTCACTGCTTAGAGTGCCCATGGACATGGTAGACCAAACAACCGCGGGGGTCGAACTCAATGACATAGAGTGATAAATCCTTAAGGTAGAGGAGGTCACCCAAAAATTGCGTTGTGCGCTTTCAAACTTGAAAAGCAAATCAATTGGGAAGATTAGGGCCGAGTTCATAATGCTTCCCGTGACAAAATCACTGGTGCGATGGCTATACACAAATAGGACAATAAAAGATCTTGAGAGGTACATTTGGGTAAAGGCACCCAGCCTCCACAAGCTTTTGCCCAAGGTTTGCCTCTAGCAAGTTAATGTCACACTAGAAACCCAAAGGTTAGAGGCAACACACCATTCCTAACAAACGATAGTCACATAAGAATATTTCTATAAAGAGCGTTCGTGACGCTGGAGCAAAGTAACCTACTCATTGCTCAATAGTGTGATTAGGGTAGTCAGGAACTGGCAGGCAACTGAGGAGCTTCCGAAACTTACTATTCTTGCTGGCTTTCATGCTTTGTGGCCGTAGCAATGTGATGTTCCTTAGGTCCCTCAGGAATGTATATCAATCAAGGTTTTACATCTCGCAATACTTCTAGCCCTGGGGCACAAGCAAAGTTAACTCTCTACTATGATGTGCCACATCCAGAATGGCCTCAGGGCTTTTACTAACAACTTTTGTGACACTAGCTCTAATAGGAAGAAAAAAGGTAGGCTCAGTACTGACAGTCCTAACCTTAGGGTAGAGACATACCTTACGACGTTGTTTGCAAGCTCAGGAAGTTAGTCTTTGTCAAGAATTCCCTCGATGCCTCGGCAATTTAAAAACCTTGGATCTACCCACCTTTTCGTGGCTCTTGCGACTGCAGGGGAAAGAACTCTGATGTCCTCTTTGCCTAACAAGATAGGTGACCCATACCATTAAGTCGATGTTCTTCCTGCGTCTTCCCCTTAATTCTATGCATAGGTGATAATGGTACGCCAACTTCTGGATTGGTGATAAAGCCTTAGATCTAGCCACCTTTTCATGGCTCCTACTTGATGTCCTCTTTGCCTTCTAGATTGGTGATGGGATATGTGACCCGTATCATCAAGCCGATGTTCTTCCCGCACGTCTTCCCCTCGACTCTATGCATATGATAATGGCACACCAACTCCCGGAGGATATTATGCAAGAGAGATTGATGAATACGGAGTTGTTCTAACTCAGCTTCACTGGAAAAGTACTCCTCAAGGTTTTTAACCCATTGGAAGCCTAGATAGCTCACCTATTTCTTTAAGGGCTAAGCTTAATTCTCCAGCTAACTAAAGTAAAGAAGGTATCAGTCTCGAGGTTAAATAGCTCCAACATTACGAACAAGTTTATTCTACTAGGCTCCAGTTCGAGTTGTGCATCCCTAATAGCTTGGTACAAACTACTGTCCCTCAGCTGATATCCGAAGTGATCAAGGATATGTGTTGTCAGTCGATCCATTATTGTTGAGAATTGGAATTGACCCACCTAACATGCGCAAGTCCGTTGTCAAACAATGACCTTGGATCTCAAAGAAGCGCACGAAGAAAGTAAGAGAATGACATTAGGATTCTTCAATACTGGATCCACTTCGTAATATGCCAGGTAGAAGCCCAACAAGTGGAGTCACCACTAATTGATGCTGAATTGCTCTCATAAAGCAATGTTAATTACCAACTCATCTGTCTGGGTACAATAGCTAACTTGAAATATCATGGCCGATGACAGTCGATGGGTGGAAGATAGCATGCGCAATCATCTGTGGAACCAACCACCTGTGATCATCAGGGTACCCAGTAGAGCCATGTCCTATGGAAGAATCACCAAAAAGAAATACAAGCTTTGGAAGAACAATCTTGGAGGTCTCGAAAGAGGCGTCAGTCACTGTCGCTCATAACAAACATGCACTACCCTTTAATAGCAGCTTGAGACGCTTTGAAATGTCATGAGAATGGAGAGGGACATCTTCGGAGAAAGACAGTTATGCTTAAGTATCGATACCCTCCAAATGTGCTCATTGGAACGATTGGACCAGCATGGAAGCTAACTTCAAAAAGACAAAAGGAATAGAGAAAGATCAGCCCACATGAAGTATGCAGAGCTAGCTTTACGCAGATGCATAAATCTAATTTTGAAAAAGAAAAACCAGCTTAAGAGGGGGTTGTTAGCCTTATGTTAACAAAGTAATTCTAAGTAGAGCAGGGGAATAGTCGAAAGGTTTTGCCTTCATTGTTTTTGGTAAATTCGAAATGGTTTTCGCCTTCATTTTTTTGGTTGATTATATGGGAGAATTGGTTGCAAGGATCCGAGTGACCCTACTATAGATGCTAGAAGCATGTCTTGGATAATAAGATCTGAGCTAATCATCTTTGAGAGTCGGTATGAGCTTGATAGGAAAGAAGGGCAACATATGCTTCAAACATGTGCCTAAAGAGAGGGATGAGAAAGAGGCTTGTACACCAAACCCGCGTAATGAACGCATATTATTGGACCACAGCTAAGGCAACAAAATAAAATGAGAGCAATGATCTCGATGTGAAGTAAACAAAATATAAATAGGATATAAAATTATAAGAAGGGTATTCTTTGAAAATAACCGGACAATTGTAGTAGTCTAAGTAATTAGTGCCTTAAAATTGGATTAATGGAGAAAATTTTTTGAATTACAGATTAAGGAAACTAATTAGGGATTTCTTTGGAATTTCACCCCCAGCTCTTGTTTAACTGCAACGTTAGTGTTTTAATGGCTAAAAGTCATTTGATGCATTGGGGCGGCACCTCCTCAACAGAGGGATAAAACAGAGAAAAAAATCAAAGAAAACCCACAAAAAATGGAGAATACCCTCTCATCCTCAACAAAACTTTCTGGGATCAATAGAAAGCTTGTGAAGGGAGAAAAGAAGACCTATGCAATAAATCAATAACCAATCAATTGAGGTATAACCCACTTTCAAATTTCATAGTAAGTTTTAGTAATTTGAATCAAAATAGAATGAGTGAGGATGATAACTTGTTATGATTATGAAGTTAAAAACTAGGATTTGCAAAAAGAAACAAAATTTTTATGTGTTTAAGATGTATGTGATGGACTGGAAAAAAATTACTAACCCTAGATCCGGTGGGGGTCTTATCGCTCCTGGACGTCAACGATTCCTGTCGTCATGGGGGGAGAGAGAGAGAGAGAGAGAGAGAGAGAGACCTCAGATGGCCCAGTCGGAAAAAAAAGAGAGGAAAAGTCATGTCCACTAGAGGTGAGTTCATTTCTCATTAGTATTTTATAATATGAAATTGCATGAGTATTATATTTGATCGCCGTCCTGTGCCATGGAGAGATATATATATATATATATAGAGAGAGAGGCCTCAAACGGTCCAGCCGAAAAAAGAGAAAGAGGAAGCAGAATAAGAAGAAGAGGAAGGTGAAGAATTGGGTAGCAAAAGAATAAGATAAGGGGAGAAGGAAAATCTTCATTTAACCCTTGGCTTACAAAATAATTTTATAATACGCCCACCTAGCTCATTCAATACACATTATGGCTAGGAAAAATTCCCTTAAGTCCCTAAGCCATGTTAGAATTTCGAACAGACCTAAGTAAAATAAATTATGATTGAAAAATGACTGGAAAATCTCTGTTATGCCCCTGTTATTTACTCAGTTTGCAAACAAGTCCAATCTGAAGAATAAAGACAACTTTTAGACTTGATAAATCCCTATAACCCCCTACCTTATTATAAATTATTAGGAAGTCCAAAAGCTAGTATATGAGAGTTATAAAATTTTAATTAATTGCTAAAGTTAGCCAAAGCTTGAGCTTTAATAGCTATTGGACTTCCTAATAAATTTTGGGGAGATGGCGCGACTACTTCTGGTTCATCATTTTGAGGAGCCGATTCGATCAAGAAGTCGGCCAAAGCTTGAGCTTTAATAGCTGTTCGCGATTCAAATTGGACATCGTGCTCGCTAAGCTCAACCGCCCAGACAACATTTCTTCCTGATGTGGTAGGACTTCCCAAAGCTTTCTTTAAGGGTAGGCTCGTTCTGACAATAATGGGGTGTGCCTAAAAATAAGGACGAAGTCTTCTGGCCGTAAGGATGAGGGTAAAGGCAGCTTTCTCTATAAGAGAATAATTGAGTTCGCATGCTCGGAGGATTCGACTCATATAATAGATGGGCTTTTGTGTATTTTCTTCCTCCCGAACAAGGACAGAACTAACTGCTTCAGAGGAGACGACTATGTATAAAAACAAAGTCTCCCCTCTTATAGGTTGGCTCAGCAATGGTTTTGCACTCAAGTAAGCTTTGAGATTTTGAAATGCTGCTTTGCATTCAGTCGTCTAGACTATACCCTCCTTCGAGATTTTGCTTCCTCTTAATATTTTAAAGAAAGGAAGGCTTCTCTCAGCGGACTTAGACAAAAATCGACCTAGAGCTGCGACCCTCCCATTCAACCTCTAAATCTCTCTCAAAGTACGCGACACAGGGAGTCGCTCTATTGCAGCAATCTTTTCAGGGTTGACCTCAATACCCCTTTGGGTAATCATCATGAATCCAAGAAATTTCCCTGATTGTACTTCGAAGGCATATTTAGCTGGATTGAGCTTTATTCGATATCGCCTTAGGGTTGAAAAGGTCTCATCCAAATCTGAAATATGGGTAGACGCTTGTTTGGATTTCACCAATATGTCATCCATATAAGCTTCAAGATTACGATCGATCTGATGTTGGAAGACCTTGGCTATACAAGTCTTTGGTAGGTGGCAGCATTTTTCAGTCCGAAGGGCATTATTTTGTAGCAGTACGTACCCCATATCAATGATGAAAGAAGTCTTCTCTTGATCGTGCTTAGCCATAAAAATTTGATTGTATCCAAAGAAAGCATCCATGAAACTAAGCATTTCATATCTCGCGCTCTCGTCAACTAACTGGTCGATTGAAGGCATGGGATAACTATCTTTAGGATAAGCTTTGTTAAGGTCGGTGAAATCTACAAACATCCTCCACTTATTCAGTGCTTTTTTTACCAGGACCACATTGGCTAACCACTCTGGGTATTGGACCTCTCGGATAAAGTCAGCTTTCAGAAGCATCTTCACCTCGTCCGCTGCCGCCTTCTGGCACTCTGGGCCAAGATGCCTCTTCTTCTGTCGAACTGGTTTGACATGTTTGTCCACGACCAGTTTGTGACACATTATCTCGAGGGAAACCCTAGCATGTCGTCCGATCTCTAAGCAAATACATCAGTATTGGCTTTTAGAAATTCCACCATAGCCCCTCTCAAGGGCTTGACTAATCCGGACCCAATCTTGATTGCCTTCATTCCTTCTTGATCAATAGGGACTTCATGGAGCTCTTCTACTAGCTCCGTCCTCGGTCCTTCTACTATCTTCTCTAGTTAGAGACAAGTTTTTTTAATTGGTATAGTGCCTTGGAAACCCTTCCTCTTGATCAAGAGTAGATAGCAAGATTTACCTTCTCTTTGATTACTCCGGGCTATTCTGACTCCATTTGGGATCGGAAATTTGATAATCTGATGATAAGTTGAGGGGATGGCCTGCAAGAGGTGGAGAGCGGTCCAACCCAATATAACATTATGGGCCGACTTCAAATCCATTACCAGAAACTAGATTTGGACAGTGATTTGCCTAGGATATTCTCCCAGTACAAATGACAAAGTTATCATTCCTTCTGGTAAGAGGGCATATGGCCAGTGAAACCCACAAGAGGTCCCCTGCAAGGGAGGAGGCGGTATTTGTCAATTCCCATCTGATTGCAGGCGCTAGTATATGTAGACGGTAAAAAATACCTCTATGGGTCTACAGGGAATTTGTCTACGAGAAGAGTTCGCACGCCCAGTTCTCTGACACGAACCTAACACGGTAGACGTCGACTGGGCCTTCAATCCAGGTTCGCTAACGGTCGACTCGCCAGCCTGAGTCAGGAGCATCAGGATGGCGGAAAAATTTTCTCCTTCGCTCAACTCGCCTGCCCGATCGGAGTTCGATCCGCCAGCAAGCCCAAAACCGTCAGTACAAGCGGTATCCACTATCCCCACTGCCGCTGAGGTGCGGCCTTTCCCACCTCTCATCACCACAAAGGGAGAGAGAGCCAGTACCCAGGCCGTCAAAACGGCCGCCCACAGTGCGCACAGCGCGAAGGAGCTGGACAGGTTAGTCGAGTCAACCTGAGCATCATAAATGCGACTCACCTCGGCTGTCTGAGTCTGGAGCTGAGTCCGCGGCACCTCGGCAAGCTGGCTAGGACTCACCGAGTACTGATACACTACTCACCGCCTCTCGCTGACCGGAAGAAAAATGCGTCGTGGCCTCAAAGCACGCCGGAGGCGTCACGCACAGTACTGGTGATCGGACAACGCCTCATCGATCTGCGACTCAAAATGCGGTTCATTAATGCTGGTCAAATCCACTCGCGATAGTATCGTTTGTTCCTCAATACAGAATTGGGCTCCCATCGTAGTGACAGACATAAAGCCAATCCCTGGAATGACCGACTCATGGGCGTTTCGTCAGGAACAGCTAGACGCTCTTTGCCTGTTGAGAAGAAGATGTGGTCAATCCACAATCGAAGGAGAGTCAAGTTGTCGACTTCTTCCCACTTTAAAAGCTCTTCCGGCACACTGTGAGAGGAGTCGCAAAACTTAGCGGAAAAAGAAGTGAGGACCAACTCTGCTGACACAACTTTCTTTGGCATTGCGCAGCACTAGCTGGCTTAGTTTCGGTCCCGATC